TTTAAAATAACAAGGGTGTGTATTTGCATATAAAAGTACTTTCAATGTACAGTATGCTTGTTGTTTTGGTTGTGGTTTAGGTTCAAGCAAAGATCACCTTACACATTTGAAATAAAAACAGGATTTGTTTTTCTCTGAGTGACAGCTTATCATTAAAGAAATTATGATTTGATCATTTTAGAGTTTTAGTTGATATACAAAATAACAATTTTTTTACCTTTCGCTTCTTAGGAACGGGTGTCTCTAATAATGTGTATGCATTTTCACTAACGTCGATTCCATCATCAGTCTCTGAACCAAATACTCCATGCTCCACCGGTGTATTTTGAGGTGTGTTACCACTCATGGGTGGCGATGCTGCTCCATTACTGTTCGGTGGTGAAGGCGTTTCCCTGGAATCCCAACTGAAGTGACCACTCGACTCTGGACTTCTATCATTACCAGAGTCTGAATTCATAGAGAAATCCTCTCCCCAACATCCTTCAAAGTTCAAAGGGCTCAGAGGTGCCTTTTCTACGAAAATACAAAAAAATAACATAATGGTGTTGATAAATATATATCACATTGATTTATTTTGTAAATGAAATTTATCTATAGAAAAATTATTGGGGAGACATCAGTATTGGCAGGTGCAAATTGGGAGGCCGGTTGGGGGGGGGGGGGAGTTTCTACTCATTTTTTGTGTCCGCATTTGAAATTAAAAATGGACGAATCACAAAATGATAACAATTCCTGATACAAGCACTTTTGTTATTTATTTATGCTTTTTACCTACTTAAAATAGCATAGTGTTTTGTTTTCTTTCATTTCAAAGTAGCATTGCAAGGACATGCCATGCTGCAACCAAAAGTGATCAGTTACAGAAGGTAAACCTTACAAACGAATGCTATACCTTTCATAGCGAATTTCACTTGGATAATCAAAACAAGCCATGTGGTAGAGTCAATAAAACTGTGACGTATGTAAGTACTATGTACATATACACAACATAAGCAAAGAATATCTAATTATTCAAATACTTTAACACGAAAAATACAGCTAATGGGGAAACGATTGATGACATGAAAACATGATAATTCCGTGCGTGCAATAAAATACAAGATCTCAAATCCCAAAATTCACTCTGTTAGAAAGTCAAAATGGATTGCGGGTAACAGTCTTCACCCAAAGAAACAATCAACATTGTTATTTTAACTGATAGGGGAATTGAAATAATAATATACATTTCATAAAACAATTTTCAAATGTTTTGGCTTGTTAATTTCAGTAATTTTATAGGTAAGCAGACCTTTGAGCCTAGAAACATTTTTTCCAGATTAAGTATAAAACAAAGAGACTTAAGATTACAATTCAGTGAAAAATTCCACAGCGTACACAATAAAAACAATAGGAATTGTTATTTTCTGGGTCGCAGAACATGAGTCTTTTATCCAGCCTTCCTAATAAGTACTGTAAAATGACTAATTTTCACTGGGTTTAAATTTCACTGATTTACCATTTCAGGCATATTCAGTGGGTTTTAAATTCACGGTTTCGTCATTTAGATAATGTGTTCTATGCTAAATTTTACATATTCACTGTGTTTTAATTTAGCGCATTTTTCCAGTCAGCGAAATAAGCTAAATTAAAACACAGTGAATAATTACCACCTTTACATTATTTGTTTGTACATGTATCTGCATATGTGGGCATGTACTGTGTAAAAGCATTAGTAGGTATCATAACAGAGCTTGTTTGTTGGAACTGATTTACCATGTTAGGTTGATTTATTTTTCACACATGAACAACAACACAAACAA